GCCGCTTATGTCTTTATGATGTTCCCGTTGAGGTATTGTGCTCAATGCCTTCTCTTAAAACAGTGAACCTGAAAGGAAATCCTGTATATCTCCAAATGTAAATTTGAGCTGATTACTTGACCAGTGTTTGATCAGATGTAAATGCAGTGACTGCAGGGAAAAAATCTACCAATGGCAATATCTTTGTCCGCGACTTACCTTTTTCTATTTGTCATGGAAAATGGTGGCTTATATACACTATAGAGGCTCTCAAAACTGTTTTGGTAATTGGAATACAATCTAATTTACCATAGATAACTTTTACATTATCTTGAGCATGTAGACAACATAGCTAGAATTGCATTTATAATACAATTTAATGCCATATTTCTTGCAAGACAGATGGTGATAAAAGTTATCTCTGTTACAGAATACACAGCCTAAGCAGGGAAAGGCACCCATCTTAGGGGTAGATAAAAAGATTGGATTGCTCTTAAGGGTACCGATGGCAGACTTGGCCAGAATGTCCTTTTGCATTTTTGTAAAAAAAGGTGGCAAATCCAGTACACCTGAAAAAAAGTGAATAGTGTCGAAGAATGATTTTCTTAATTTGTGTGCTAGGAGGAGTATATTTAGAGATAAATGGAATTTTCTCCATTTTAGTTCTCCTGTTCTTCATATCCAGTAGGAATTGTCTGGTGGCCTGTTGTCTCCTCCAATGTCTGGCTATCTATAATTTCCTTGGCGTACCCCCTCTCTACAAATCTGTCTGCCATGGTAGTGAAGCATTGTTCCATGTCCACTTCCTCAGAGACTATCCTCTTGGTCCTGAGAAATTGGCTATATTGTAAGACTTCCATCAAATGAGGAGGGTGAAAAGATTCAAAGTGTAGTAGATTATGCCTATCTGTGGCTTTTCTGTACACTATGATATTAAAATTCCTCACAACCTTATTACGTAGCCCATCCAAAAATGGACTAGAATGCAGGTCACTGTCCCAAGTGTACTAAATATTAGGATTAAGATAAATAAATTCAGACCTAAAGGACTGGAGATAATGGAGATATTGTCTATATATCTCCTCAAAATGAAACAATGCTTGAACAAAGACAATATATAGATAAAAAGTTCCTCCAAGCTATTCATAAACATATTGGCATACGTGGGGCTACATTCGAGGCCATTGCAATCCCCTTGACTTGCAGATGGAACTCTGAAACAGAAAATAGTTTTTAGTCAATATCAGTGTGAGTACGTCTATGACATAAGTCTTAGCAGCCAGGCTAATGTTCCTCTCAGAGTCATGGTCCAAAGTCCACTTGACTACCTATATGCCATCTCTGAGCATAATGTTTATAAGGACTGAACATCCAGTATAATCAGATCACACATCAGGAGGTGTCCAAAATCTTAAGGAAGTCTTTTATATCGATAACATAGTGAAGACCTATACAATGCTTTCCTAAGGGGGGGAAGTCCAAATGCGATTGCGGCGCTCGTAACGCATGCGCACTAGATCCCCCTGCCGGAGGATCAGAGTCAGAGCCTAAACCAGTACTGAGGGACAATGTGCTGGAATAAGGTAAGCGAGAAAAGGGGTTTTAACCCCTTCAGCACTATGGGGGGTGGGGGATACACTATAGTGACAATGGCAAGAGGGAGGCACTATAGGGAGCTATAGTGCTAGGAAAACAACTTTGCGTGCAGGGTCTATATAAAAATTTATACTGTATGTGGCTAAAAATAGGACACTAATAGATAAGAATACGGTGTTCTGCTTTCCCTACTGATAATCCGTCTCACAGAAAGCCTCCGGTTGTTGTCACAGCTGTTCCATATATAAACAACCTTTTTCATAGTCATCAGCATCAAATATAACCAGGCCCGGACTGGCCATCGGGCATACCGGGCAAATGCCGGTGGGCCGCAATGGCCGTGGGGCCGAGGCCGGCAGGGAGATCACAGGATCTCCCCTGCCAGCCCCTGCAGGGCCAGCGCTACCCGAGCGCCAGCCCTGCTGTGTGCCTCCGTGGGCCGGTGGGGAGATCAAAGATCTCCCTCACCAGCCCAGAGGTAGGGAGATGCGGCCGCAGGCTGGGGAGGGAGGGAGGGAGGAGAGGACCGGTGTTCTATCAAAAAAGCATACCCCATAAAAAAGACATACCCTCGTCACTTCCGGTGACGCGGCCGCACCGGAAGTGACGTCCATCCAATAGAGGAGGAGGTGTGCCGCATCGCTCGGGGGCACAACCTCCAGATAGGGAATTTTAATAGCGAGCAGGGGAAATTAACGCTGCAGTGCGCACGCGCGTCTAGTACTCCCGTCGGAGGTACAGCGCGCGTGCGCACTTGGGGACATGGAGCGCTTCACACAGTCCGCGCATGCGCAGTATAGGGGTAGGGAAATGTGATGGCCATTAAGCCCTGTGAAATCTCTCTACCCCTATACTGCGCACGCGCGGACTCTGATCGTCTGAGTAAAGCCTTTTCTGGGAACAGGTCAGTCTCTCCCTGCTCCCAACACTCTCAGCCATCCGAGGGGAGGGGGTACTATATTAGGGGGGTCTGCGCTGTATAGGGAGGGCTGTCTGCGCAGTATATGGGGGGTCTGCGCTGTATATGGGGGGCTGTGCAGTATATTGTGGGGTCTGTGAAGTATATTGGGGTGGCCTGTGTGTTAAATGTGGGGGGCAGTGTATTATATTTGGGGGCTGTGCATTAGATGGTGAGCTGTACGGTACGTGTGGCCTGTGTGTTATATGTGTACAACCCTAGTTTCACAAAAAAATATTTATTTCCTAGATATCATATGCCATGGCATGCTTTTTGCTATGAAACCGCAGCCATCTAGTCACTCGCCAGAGAAGGATGAGAAACTGCACCCCAGCGAGAGGGACAGCCCCACATCTGCAACCAAATCCGTCGGTCACCGAATTCAGTAATCTCCGTCTCTTTGTGCATTGTGCATTGTGTATGTATGGTACTCCCAATTCTTATATTTAATCCGGTGTGTCTCCCACAATCTTTGTGTCTGTCTGCTGTATGTATGTGGCACGCAAGTCTGCTTGCACTGTGTCTGTTATGCCAGTTACTCTAACCAGTTTATTTCTTTTTGTGTGTGTCACAACTCTGACAAGCATGTTCTCCTATGGGACACGAAGTACATGAAGAGGAATGAAGAAGCCCATGTTTGATGCTGGTCTCCAGGGTGGAGTATTGAATTTATAACTAATGAAGTGGCATCTGACACATGACAAGCTGCTCCTGTTTGCTCAACAACTTCAACATTGTGTACTTTGATCACAGCATACTTCAGAGGTAGGTAACCTTGTGCAGTCCAGATGCTGTGAATTACATCTCCCATAATGCTGGCAAACCATTATGGGAGGTGTAGTGCAAAACATCTGGAATACCGAATGCGGATGAATGCAAAGTATGGTGTGTGTGAATGGTCAGTAACAAGGGTTGAAGCCTTGACGTGGCGTTACTGCTCACATGTGTATTCATGTGCCAATTCAACCAATGTGAGTCACTGTAATACTTATAAGGTAACCAAAAGTACTGTGATTGTGGAGAATGAAACGCCTGTATCACCTACACACCGTTTACACTGTGACCATATCTCCTAAACACTGCTTACACTGTGACCGTATTTCCTAAACACTGCTCACACTGTGACCGTATCTCCTAAACACTGCTGACACTGTGACTGTATCTCCTATACACTGCTGACACTGTGACCGTATCTCCTAAACACTGCTGACACTGTGACCGTATCTCCTATACACTGCTGACACTGTGACCGTATCTCCTAAACACTGCTTACACTGTGACCGTATCTCCTAAACACTGCTCATACTGTGACCGTATCTCCTAAACACTGCTCACACTGTAAGCACAGACATGCTTTTATTCAAAATTGAAAGCGCTCGATCATTCTTTCTATTTTACGCCTCCAATCTTCAACATTGAAATTGTCATTTCTAATAATATAAAATAAGTAATATGCTTTCTGGTTACGATTTGGTGGGTTGTAACTAAATTTTTTATTTTTACAGTTCCACAGGGAAGGAGGAAACCGCTTTGAGTCCCTGCATAAGAGACTATTGGATACTGAAAAATAGCAGTTGACTTTGTGTATAAGAAGCTGTAGATATATTAATGGTGGAGCTCAGTGGTGTATCCTGGTTTTGTGCTGCCCTAGGCAGGACAAAACTCAGACGCCCCCTCCCCCGCCACCCCCACCCAACCTTTCCCCCCACAGAGTAAGAGGGGGGTGACAATAACAATATCTGATATTAGGCCACATATGCAATTATTATGTAATTAATGGACAACATACTTTTTCAATTTTGTTAAATTAGAAATTAAATATTGTTTGTCTTTTTTATATTGCCACTTTAAAAAAAAATAAAACTCTTAATTTTTAAATGTACAGTAATTTGTCTGTAATAATGTTAACTTGTTAATTATTGTGGGACAGTGGAGAGCAAACCCAAACTGGGACTCTACTAAACAATCCAGGACTGTTAGGAAATATGGCTTTGTGACAACATATGATAATTTATGGTGCATATAGGTCCTCTTGTCACTGTGCCTATGCATAGTTTTGATTATAAATGTGATGACTTTCAAAAGATAGCAATAAGCATAGTAAGAAGTTGCTCTTTAAAAGCCCACATCATCTCGTTTAAATGGTTTGGGTGCAGTGCCAATGTCCCCTTAACTCAGCAATGTTAATTATTGCAGCTTCTGAGAAACCTACAATGGGACGCAGCAAGTGCTGGTATTATTTGGAGCTAAGTAACACAAATCGCATGTTAAGGTGTCAGCAAAATACTTTATTTCTTCAAAGTTAATATGCATTTTAGACTTTATATGTATAGTGGAAAAAATATAAAAGTCAAATTTGGAAACTGGTTAAGAAAAGTCACACTGTGGTATCCAAGAAGGAGAAAGTTCAATCACATGTAAAGAAAGGCTGTATGGCATTGGGAAGGTAGTATCTCAATAATATAATGGTCTCTTTCCCTGGACGGTACACGATTCTTAATCACTGGAAAATGAAGGTTAAATCATGTCTGCAGCATGTGTTCCGAAACAGCCATATGGACGTTTTCTATAGAAGAAGGTAATCTCTTCTGTTTGAGCAGGTCGAGGTTAATGGTGGTGGGTTTGTCTCTGGCACTGGAACCATCAGTAAAGGAGTGTAAAATTGAGAGGATCACCTTGTTCTTCCCACAAATGTAAGAAAACACAGAACAGAAGATTGAGGAGAGTGGTTAACAAATCAATGAAACCGCAAACACTAAAACTAACTTGAAAAAAATAACATTCACAGTGTAAGCAGTGTTTAGGCGATTGGGTCACTGTGTAAGCAGTGTATAGGCGATAGGGTCACAGTGTGAGCAGTGTTTAGGAGATACGGTCACAGTGTCAGCAGTGTATAGGAGATATGGTCACAGTGTCAGTAGTGTTTAGGAAATACGGTCATAGTGTAAGCAGTGTTTAGGAAATACGCTCACAGTGTAAGCAGTGTTTAGGAGATACGGTCACAGTGTAAGCAGTG